TGATCTCTAGCAAGAGACTTCAGAGACGGTAGTGAGAAATGAGACTTCTCTGGGGAGAAGTCAGAGGTGCGAGTGGAAGAAGTCCATGAGGAGACTGCAGTCTTTTGAAGCTTTGCTAACTCTGCTGTCAGGACTCTCTGACCGTATTTGAAACCAAACTGTCAAGCTTGCGTTAGGACGTTCAACTCCAGAATATTAAAGCTTTTTTCCTGAGCGGATGCACCTTTACAGACGTGTTTGTGAATTTTTAGCATGCTGTGTATCTGTTGCCCAATTATTTAGCAACCGAAGATGCAATGAGAACATCTGGCATTATATATCGTAAGACCAAGAGAGAAAATGTTCCCTTGGAATTGTTTCTTAATTTCACCTTGAAGCATGCAAGCTAACATGATTTACAATCTGTACAAAATGTAATTAAGAGTCTTAGCAGGTTTTAATACACCAGGAGAAGTTAAATTAAAATAACTAACAATAATAGATCATAGAATCCCAGAACCGCCTTGGGTTGGAAGGGACCATCCAGTTCACATCCCGTGCCATGTGCTGGGACACCTTCCACTAGAGCAGGTTGCTCCAAGCCCCATCCAACCTGGCCTTGAACACTGCCAGGGATGGCGCAGCCACAGCTTCTCTGGGCACCCTGTGCCAGGGCCTCACCACCCTCACAGGGAAGAATTTCTTCCTAATGTCTCATCTCAATCTCCCCTCTGCCAGGTTAAAGCCATTCCCCCTTGTCCTGTCCCTACAGGCCCTTGTCAAAAGCCCCTCTGCAGGTTTCTTTAGGCCCCCTTTAAGGTATTGGAAGACTTAGATGCATAAAGTCAGGTGAAATAGCACTAGCAATATTATTGAATGGATTAATTTATCTTTCTTGCTTTGTTGTTTGACCTACACTGCTACCCCCATATGGCAACAGAAAAATGAGGGAAATTTCCTTGGGATGTTCCTTCCTTCCTAGCTACCCAAAGCTGGTCTGAGATTTGCCTCACATGTGAGGGATGCACGCCAGTCATGCACCAAAGAGCATTCCTCATTTGCAGTTCTGATCTGTCATTCTGGGTGTGTTGTTACCTTATTCAGTGATGATCTCTTCTACCCCTTGTTCTTTAAAGCAAGATGATAGCTAATAAGCAAAGTAAGATGCCTCATCAGTGGAGAACTGGGGAGGTGGGGAGGATATGAAGTTAACGTTGTTTCTAAATCCCGCAGGTTGTCTGATGCTCCAAAATGTGCAGTTGTGGTTGTTATCTTAACGGCAGTATTATAATTGTTGCAGGTATACTAGGGACAACATAAGGCAGAAGACTCTGCAGGAAGAGAGTCTCAAGACAAAATGGGGCTGCCATGATGTGCGGCCAAGTAAAACATGTCTCAGAAACCGAATATAACGCCTGTCTTTGGGAGTGACATCTACTCTTGCCATAACATCTCCAGTGAGTGACTCTAAAGCTTCCCCCCTGTTCCCTAATTGCCTTTATACTGCTGATGGCAGGAGCAGTTTCATTTCAAGTTTGAATTGGTGTGGTTTTGTTTAGATTCCAGCCACGTGGTTTTGCTGGTTCTTGGTGAGATGAATAAGTCCCTTGCCATCAGATCCTGTTTCCGTCTGTAATTACGCATACACAATGATTGAGTCACCTCTCACCCTCCTTTTCAACAAGCTGCATAAATTGAACTTCACTTTGTAAGACTGCATTGAAGGAAATCCCCAGAAACGTTTTTGTTTGACACATTTAACAATGTCAGGGCAGACAGAAGCTGCTCGGGTTGTCATTGATAGATTTTCTTCTGTATGTTCTTCCCAGGTAGTGTGTTTGTACACACATTTGGAGAGATACTTCAGCAGCATCTCCCTCAAGGTGTTTAAATACACCTTAAGATGCCTGCACTGAGCATGTTCTGGTGGAATAGAGCTGGACCTTTCCTGTGATTATGGCTTCAGCAGCTGGTCATCCAAACTGGAACCAGAAAGTCTTCCCTGTGGCTTCTGTGGAACTTTCTGAGCAAGGAGAAGCTGCTGGATGTACCATGGAAGGAAGGAGCAGGCAGGTAAATGTCTGTGGCACAGATCCTGCTGATTGTCCATGTGGATAATGATGGAATTTAGTTTTGATTTCTTATGAAAATCTTGAGAGTTACATGCACACAAATGTATTAAAAATACTTGGGGATGAAGGAAGGGAGAGAGTAAGATGGTAAAATCAAATATTGAAGGTACTGGCAAGAGGCAGACCCTGTTTACCTAAGTCCTCTTTAGTTTCTCTGAAGAAGGCAGGTCTCTCTTTCATCTAGGTTTTCTTTGGAGCTCAGTTCTCCTCCTCTAGCTGCCTGGGGTTTGACCATGGTGTATTGTTCCGAGCTTTCTTGCCCTGTTATTAGAAAAACAACAATAGCAGATCCAGGCAGCAGCACAGCAGACACTAAGCAACATGAACAAAACACCCTACTGTAGACCACCAAACCCAATCTGCATGCATGCGGGTGTAGGCAGCAGGTAGGAATAAAATTTCTCATCAAATGTCACAAGGAATAATGTCAAAGAATAATTTGGAGCTGGACCAGGTTTCTGAATTGAAGCAGTCTTCACTTTTTCTCTTTGCTGTCTCCAGTGTCTTCACTGTGATCACTCTCAACCCAGGCAGCTCTCACTTACCCATGAGCAGACAGTAGACTTCGTGAGAACGAGATGCTCTGCAGAAGTCCTGTGCCTGCCAGCAGAGCATTTAAAACTAATGAGAGTGTTATTACTGTCTCAGTCATAAAAAAGATACGGCTTGTTAGCTGTTAAAATTGCATACTACAAAATTTAAATGAGCCCATATAGTTGGGGTGTTGCTGAAAGGCAGGGCCTGTTCTGTGTGTAATCCCTCCTTGTACCAGGGCTTGGTTCAGCTCTGCTAAATTCACCACGAGTCTTCCCTGTACCAGCTGGGCCCAAAAGGGAAAGAAGAAATCCAACGGATGTAACCTGCCCTCCTTAATCACTGGCTGCCCTGTAAACTGAGCTCAAATGAAGTCTGAAGGAGTTGGTCTATCCTTTCAGAGCAGATGCTGCAATGCTCATATGAAGAGCTATGGTCCGGGAGGCAGATGGTCACTGACGCTCCAGCATCAATCTGTGCTGGGGCACCTTCAGACATCAGAGCTTCTCACTGTCTCCTTTGAAGAGCTGGTGGGGTCAAAAGAGAAAGATTTCTTGAGGCAGAAGAAAGGACTAGCTGTGTTTGTACAAGAATGAAGTAAAAGCACAGACCAGGGAATCCAATACTATGTTGGGTCCATAATAATCCTCATAAAGACAGGCTGACACGGCCCTTACCTGTGGTGTTCAAACTGCAGTGGGCAAAGTGAAGTGAGGTTTCATAGGAGAACTATGTGCAGGTAAGGACTTAAGCAAGGAACCTATCCAGTTCTGTGGAGGGGCTCTGCTCAAGCCTTCAAACACTGCAGTGGGTTTGCCATGCAGAAAGGTGCCTTCTGAAGAGCATGAGTGAAATCTCAACCCTGCTAAAATCCAGGGAGGTTTTGCCACTCATAATAGGATCTCGGAGTTCATTCCAGGTTTCTCCACAGCAGGAATACTGCCTTTCTACACGGGAATACAACAACGGAGAGCTCACAGCTCAAATGGCTTTTGTACAACAGTGGTTATGAAACAGAGGACAGCATTCAGGTAACTGGAATGAGCTCTCTTAATGCTAGAGGCAGTGAGGAGCTCAGCATTGCTCCTTACTGGGGCAGACAGAATAACAGTGTTCACAGAAAAAACTAGCACCTTCTCAGACAGGAGGGCAAAAGGCTAAGGAGAGTGGCTGTGCATCGCTTTCACCCTCCCCACCTCTCTGCCCCACAAAACCTGAAATGGCTTTGAGTTCCTGCTGTTTTTCTTGACTGCCAGGTTAATATTTTTCTGCCTCTTTCTTGACCTTTTGTATTGTCAGAGAAGGAAGATGCACTTTTCTGAATGAGGGTGAAACTGCCCTGACCTGGAGCATGCACAAAACCTACACCAAGTGTTTGGAAAACAGAGGGCAGCTGTGCTGTGCCTGCGTAGCAGAGAGCATATCAGAGCATTTGGCCTAGGGGAACATGTCTGATGGGGAAATAATTTCTCCCTTCTTTTCTCTGTTCAGACAGCTTTGGTGTGAAGGATCACTCCTGCATAGCTAGGAGGGTAATCTGTCTTCTAGGGTCTGAGCTAAACATGGGCAGGACCCTATTGGTTTCCGTGGGAGCTGGATGGCTCATAAAGGCACCTTTTTTAGACATGATTTGGTACTCTCAGCTCTGGTCAGTGCTTTCAAATACTTGAATTTCATTAAGTTAATAGTGTGTTCAAAGATAAGATGGTCTTTACTAGTTCTGCCCTCATCTCCGGCTGCACAATCTTGAACAAAGCATGCAGGTCAGAACCTCCTATTTTGTATTTGTTGGTCCATTTTCAGGTAACATTGGTGAATTGTTTGACTTCCCAAGGTGTCCAACACCCTCAGGGTAAGATTCCCATATTAAAAAACCATGAGAGTACACCTTTGCTCAGCAGACACTGAGTTTGAAGGGCTGTCCTACATGCTCCATGCTGTACACATCCTAAGGGTATAGAGGTAAATGAAGACATGCAAAGCCAGAGCATCCTTTGCAAAGGGAGTGTGGTGACACTCCCTGCTTGGCACACAGGGATGGTGAGTGTTTCAGATGGGGGGACCCTGTTAGGGGCTGAGGTACCACACTGCAATGTGCTTGTAACAGTTTTCCAATACCTACAGGGGGCTGACTAGAAACCTGGAGAAGGGCTTTTGACGAGGACTTGTAGGGACAGGACAAGGGGGAATGGCTTTAACCTGTCAGAGGGGAGATTGAGATGAGACATTAGGAAGAAATTCTTCCCTGTGGGAAGAGTCCCCATCTTCTGAAGACTTGTAGTTAGTTTTTAACTCTGTTGGGTCACAAGGAGACTGTTACAGCTCTCCCCTCAGCTGTGTGAGGATGGTATTTCACACCTCTCATCTATAAGCAGAGCAAAGACTCTCCCAGCTGTCTCACATCACTCATCAGTGAAGTGGGCACTAATTAGATAAACACATGCAGCTGTGGCAGCTCTTATTGCCATGCACCTGCGAGCACCACGTCTGGTAGTTGCTGTGGTTGCTCTTGCTAGAAGGTGGGAGAAGTTCTTCTGGTCTGCGTAAGCTGTCCCATAACTGGGAACCTCTATACCTTGGTTTTCTGTGGGTGAAGGGTGTTGTGAGCTCAGGAGGTGCCCCTGCAAGCAGTGGAGTAAAAGGTAAGCTCTCCTCTTAGTGAATAGCTGCTGCAGAAGACAATGTGTTACAGGGTGCTTGGAGGGAGAAGCTGGAGGAAAGCTTCTGTGTTTGAAGTCAATGCTAAAGCTCGATTTAAGTGGTGCATCTGCTTCATTGGGCACTAAAACTGCTCTGACCTTTTCCTCTGTGTTCTGTTTGGGTAACTGTGGACAGATGAGAGTTGCATTGATGAGCCGGTTCCTGAAGCATGAGCTGCCCTAAGTTGCAATAGACGCTGTGTCTATAAACGTGTCTGTGGGCTTGGCAACTTTGCTGGGTTCAAGGTTAATGTCAGCTATGTAACACTCACATGAGCTTACTCAGTCTTGTAGGGAAAGCCCCTTGAAAATGGCTGTATTTTAAACGTGGTTGTACAGCATCTGTGGTTATGGCCCTGTGGGTATAGCTGCTCCAGAATATGTGTGTAGTTTTGGCTGTATAGTGCTGTCTCAGGAAGAACTGCAGCATGTGTGGTTGGTTAGAAAATTCAGCAAATTTTATAAGTTATCTTATTAAGCTGCAACTCGGGATAAGGATGTGATTCTCTGAGTTGCTATGCTGACTCCTCTTTCTGGAGGTCTGATACAACGTCCTCTGCTCTCTTAGATAAGGAGGCAGCTGTAGGCAAACCTGTGCAGGTGACAAACATGGCATTCCTTGTTTTAGGTGGACATAGGGAGATAAAAGAGATGAAGTAAAACTAACATTCAATTTCTGTTCTTCTGGTGAAAATCCACCTGTGTGTAAATGGTTACTACACAGTCCATGTGCAACTCACAGCCCCGTATACCCCTGTATCTTGGCAGTGAGGACGCAGGTATGCTATGGCTGAGGGTGATATGTCCTGTGCTCCAGAGAGCTGGAGTAATGGTTCCAGAGTTTGCCTGCAAAGCCATGTGGAATAACTGCTTCAATGGCATTTCTGAGTACAAGCTTAGAGGGGAGGAAGGATGGTGAAATATTTGTAGGGCTGATGGTTAAAGCCAATGGTGCAAGCTCTGCTGCCGGAGGGCTGTAGGCAGTTACTGGAGAATGGTAGCAGGTTCTTGCTATTATTAATCCTTTAGGATCTGGTGAAGTGCCAGTACAGGTGTTGGCAGCTTGTCTGGAGTGATTAATGGGCTTTATACTCTTTACCCTTGGAATTTCACCAAACTTGCATGAAATTAGTACCATGTGGGTTACGCACGGTAGAAAAAGAACAGTGTTCCTTAGTGATGGGAATGAGAAAGGAGAGGAAATGAAGCACCAACAAACTGGAAGGTATTTTTAACAGACAAATAAGGAATTTTGGAAATTCAAACTTTTCGGGGAGGGGAAATTATCTCCTTTTACCAAGAAAAACCAAACCTGAAACCAGAGTGACCCTCCTGGCCTACTGCATGGACCAATCCTAATCAGACAGATCCTTTACAGGTGCCTTCCCACTGATGTCATCAAGGAAAAGCCTGCAGCTTCTTGCAGCCTGGGAGAGCACATCATTCCCCATGTTCAAAAGAGTCTCAGCCAGGCCCAGTGGGGATTTAGCTTTCAGCACATGCTTAACATCCCTTTGAGGCTTTGTGTGCATGAGTGCAGGTACTGCTGGGGTTTTAGCTTCTGCTGCAATGGATGCTGGAGTGCCTGGCTGCATGGGTGTGTTTGAACTGTGGCTTAGGGAAAGAGCATGTTTGATATAATGCAATATCCTGATTGATGAAAGGAGGGATATAATATTTATCTGGGTATCACTGGAGTCGGGTTATTCTCTGTGCATCCTTAAATCCTTGAATGAACCTTTGCAAGACTTTGGGTAAAAAGACCCCTGTGCTCAGGCTGTGAGAGCGCTGCCATGTGAGGACAGTTATCCATAGAATCTATTTATGTTAGGGAGCTCATATGATGCATTTAGAAAAGTAACAGACCCCAAAGTTATGCAGCACGGCAGTCCTAAGGTAAGCAGGCAGTCTAGACACCTCCAGCAGTTCCATAAGGATGCATTGAGGGCTCATTAATATTTCACAGAGCAATGAGATGTTGTATATTAAAGTATTAAAATATAATGTTAGTCATTTAGTTGCCTTGAAGTGGAAAACAAACTGCAAGAAGACATCTCATAGGGAAAAAACCATCAGGGTAGACTTGCAACTTACATGTGAGGCTTTGTTGGTATAAAAAGGGTGCTAGGTATGAAAAGGGAAGTGATTTTCTAGTTTTCTAGCCATATATATTTAAACTATATATTGTACCCTGGGATACACCCACCGCAACTTATTCATGTGCATTCACAGGAGTAATGACAGCTGTGTTCAGAGGTTCCTGAAGGCAGGATTACAGGCTGTTGGCTCTGTGAGTACACGTAGCTGCTCAGCAGCTGAAAATGAAGATGCTTTATGAGGATGCTGATATTCCAACTGCTGAGTAGTAACTGAAGCCAGTGGGGTTACTCCTGTGAATGACTGTTCCCTGGGTGAAGCCTCAGGCAGGGAAGGCTGAATGGTTTGTCCTTTATAAGACACAAGCTGTAGCATAAACCAAGCTTCATCCCAAGTGCAGGGCACCTCTTCAGGCTACTGTGGTGAAAACATGCCTTGTTTGGAATGAAATACCTTAAGCTGCTGTGGCCTCTTCCTCTCCACGTGGCAGAGAAAGTGATGGAGGAAAACAGAGGGCTCCTTCCTTATTTTTGCTTTACTGGTGATTCACAGTTGAGGTTTGTCAAGAAAGACTAAGGGAAAAGCAGTAAAACTAATTGGTATCTGTGGCGCTCGCTTTGTTCTGAAATTAGAGCTCCAATTTAAAGCCAAGGGGGTTAGACTTAAACTACTGGATTTGAAAATAATGTTTTCTTTTGTCCTAGGCCTATAAATAAGAGAGGAGCCTTTGCTGTATATTGTTATTAAATGTGAGATCCCATCCCTGGAATCTCCAGGGGACTCAAAGTCCAGGTCTGATTTGTGCAGTATTGACCCATATCTGATACCAATTTCTGTCACTTGCTCGTTTTCCTCAGTAGTCATGGGGAGAGTAATGCAATATTCAACACTTCACTATGTGTTTGACAGCCTAGGGGGTTTACATTTCTAGGGTTGTTTCTAAACATTGATTCAGTTCAAAACCATCAAGGGCTGCTCCCTCCATCATCTATACCTAGTGACACACGTGTGAGTGCCACTCATAGAATAGTTAGGGTTGGAAAGGACCTTAAGATCATCCAGCTCCAACCCCCCTGCCATGGGCAGGGACACCTCACACTAAACCATTTCCCCCAAGGCTCTGTCCAGCCTGGCCTTGAGCACCACCAGGGATGGAGCATTCACAACTTCCTTGGGCAACCCATTCCAGTGCCTCATCATGCTTACAGTAAAGATCTTCTCCCTTATATTCAATCTAAACTTCCCCTGTTTAAGTTTTAACGCAGTACCCCTTGTCCTATCGCTACAGTCCCTAATGAAGAGTCCGTCCCCCAGCATCCTTATAGGCCTCCTAAAATCAATGCCTTTTCAAACTTTGCCTCACCAACAAGTGAACCCCACACCTGTGGGGCACTGCTGCTACTCTGGGCCAGCAGCAAGTCCTCCTGCCAGCCCACAGCTGGATCCTGCACAAACAGTTATCCCCATCACCAGGAAATTGTCAGCTGAGGGCCACTGTTTTCATTTGATTTGTAGACACCGAATTGCCTGCTTTATGCAGAGGTCTGGGCAGACTTGTCCTTTATTTGCTGCTCAATGTTATGTTTGTTTCTCAGTCAAATGAATTTTTGTAAGTGCGGTAAGGACAGTTGAAGGCTTTAAAGCTGTGATGTTTGGAGGAATGTGGTGCTTAGCTTCATCTCCAAATACCATCTATATATATTTGAAAAGCCAGACATCTAGGAAGAGTTTCATATATGGAAGTTACACTTACCTCTACTTTAAAAAAGCCCCAGCACCACCAGAGAGCAGAGGTAAAAAGCAGTCTCTCTTTCTGGCTTTAAAAATGCACACTCTGCAAGCAGTTGAGAATAGCAGCCTCTTCAATAGGTGTCTTCTCCGTAGGTTCTGAAACACTGTATGGAAATAGTTCAATGTCATCAACTTAGCAGTCTTACAGTACCTAAATCTGGAGAGGGGCTTTTGATAAGTGCCTGTAGGGACAGGACAAGGGGGAATGGCTTTAACCTGACAGAGGGGAGATTGAAATGAGACATTAAGAAGAAATTCTTCCCTGTGAGAGTGCTGAGGCCCTGGCACAGGGTGCCCAGAGAAGCTGTGGCTGCCCCATCCCTGGCAGTGTTCAAGGCCAGGTTGAACACAGGGGCTTGGAGCAACCTGGTCTAGTGGAAGGTGTCCCTGGTCATGGCAGGGATTGGAACTGGATGAGCTTTAAGGTCTCTTCCAACCCAAACCAGCCTGTGGTAAATTTTTGTCTTTAGGTATTCAAGCTGAGGTGGTGCAATGTCTTCATCTGCTGGTTGCAGGTGTTGCTGGCTGCAGGGTAAAAGATATGGTGACTGCAGCTATGGGTCACTTTGCCATAGGAAGAGAAGTAGCCTGTACACCAGGCCCTGCAAACAAGAGCCTTCATTGTTAGTAAATAATTTTGATTTATGTTAGTTCCACATGAAAATAAAACCCCCTTAATAGATAGAAATGATGGAATCGCTTAACCTTGGTTCACTTCCAGCTTCACTGAGGAATGGCTACACTGAGGTCTTACAGGTTACATGTGTGTGAAATTAGATTAACACAGTGGTGAGTAGGTCCTTAAAATAAGTAATTGGAGGGGGGAGGGAGGGAGGGAGGGACAACAACAGAGGTTATCTTAGCTTTTGGCAATGAGTTCCTTTGAAATAATGGAAGCATTTCTATTATTTTATTATTTTAGCTCTTGTGAAGTGCTTTTCATCAGTGTTTCAGGGTAAAAGTGTTCTGCAAAGCGCTTACACAGATAACTAATATCGATTACAATCAAAGTCTCTCATCTGAAGTTGATTTAAGGCATGACAAGAGGCTGTTAC